ATCAAGTCTAGAAGTAAAAGCATGAATGACCTTTTCCAAATCTGCCAAAGAAAGGAATGACTTTATCTTCGCTAGTTGCCTCAGTTGTGCAAAACAAGACTGCAACACTTTAGTCACCTGAATATCAAAGGACAGTTCTGAGTCAAAAACTACACCTAAGTTGCAAGCCTCTGTTCGAACATTATTAGATAAGGCACCCAGACTAGAGGAGAGATTATTAATACTAGCACTACTGGGGACACATGGGGTAATTATAAGCACTTCTGACTTGGACTCATTCAACTGCAGAAAATTTTTCGACATCCAATTTTTGATTTCGATGAAGCATGACATAATATGGAATGGATCAATAAAACCAGGCTTTACCGGGACATACAATTGCGTATCATCTGCATAGCAGTGGAACTCAATGTCATAACTGCGCATAATTTGACCCAGGGGTAACATGTAGATAGTAAACAGAAGGGGACCCAAAATAGATCCCTGAGGGACCCCACAAAATAGAGGAGCATGAGAAGAGGAGGCATCTCCAAGCACTACGGAAAAAGCTATTCGACAAATAAGAAATAAACCAATCAAGAGCTACATCTCTGATACCAACATAAGGTTTTATTCCCTGTGTTGTTCATGATTGTTTTCTGATTCGTTATTAGGTGGACATGACCAAGGTCAACCTGGAAGTCGTGAAGCCCTGGATAACCCAGCGTGTGACGGAGATCCTTGGCTTTGAGGATGATGTCGTCATCGAATTTGTCTTCAACCAGCTGGACGAAAAGGTAGACGCCTGCTTTGCTCTTTTCCGTTGTCTTTTCACACATGCTGCAGTTCTATATTTGATGTGTTCTGTTCTTTGGGAGGATGAGAGAAGGTTTGCAGATCAGTGCTGACAGTTATTTGAAACATTTGCCATGTGTAGATGTAACAGCAGAAAACATCTAACATCACAGTCTTTAAGTGTCTGTCTGGTTTTAAAAAGACAGAAAAGCGGGTAAAAATGATATTCTAAGAGACTTAAAAGAGGATACAGTAGGAGCCTGCCTAATATCCCCAGGCAGGGAGTTCCATAGCTTAGGCGCACGGATAGCAAAAGCGTGGTCACCTTTGGTAACAAGTCGAGATTTTGGAACCATTAATAGGGCCCTACCGGAGGATCTCAAGCAGCGATCAGGCTCATAAGGAATTAATAAATCACAAATATAGGCAGGAGCCTGACCCTTCAAGGCCTTAAAAACAAGCAACAAAATCTTAAAATCAATTCTAAAACTCACAGGCAACCAGTGAAGAGCAGCAAGAATCGGTGAAATGTGGTCACTTTTCTTAGTATGTGTTAAAAGCCTAGCAGCAGCATTTTGAATCAGCTGCAATCTTTGGAGATTTCTCTTGCTAATACCAGAATAAAGTGCATTACAATAATCAAGTCTGGAAGAAATAAAAGCATGAATGACCTTTTCCAAATCTGCCAAAGAAAGGAATGACTTTATCTTCGTTAGTTGCCTCAGTTGTGCAAAACAAGACTGCACCACTTTAGTCACCTGAATATCAAAGAACAGTTCTGAGTCAAAAACTAACTCAGAGCCTCTTTTCGAACATTATTAGATAAGGCACCCAGACTAGAGGAGAGATTATTAATACTAGCACTACTGGGGACGCATGGGGTAATTATAAGCACTTCTGACTTGGAGTCATCCAACTGCAGAAAATTTTTCGACATCCAATTTTTGTTTTCGATGAAGCATGACATAATATGGGATGTATCAATAATACCAGGCTTTACCGGGACATACAATTGCATATCATCTGTACAGTGTTGGGTGTAACTAGTTACTATGTAATTAGTTACTGTAATTATTAATTACTTTTCCCTTGAAAAGGTAAAGTAAGGGAATACTCTTATTTTTTCTGTAATTTAATTACAGTTACTTCTTATGTAATTGAACTTAATACTGTGTATAGACTGTGGAACATTTACATACAATAGAATAGTGGATTTAAAGGGGTCATATGATGCTTTTTTAAAGATCATTATTTTGTGTATTTGGTGTAACAGAATATGTTGACATGCTTTAATGTTCAAAAAACACATTATTTTTCAAATACTGTACATTATTGTAGGTCCTCTATGCCCCGCCTCTCTCAAACGCTTCGTTTTCTACAAAGCCCCCTCCTTTGACAAGCGCAGTCCGCTCTGATTGGCCAGCTGACCCAGTGCACTGTGATTGGCCGAACACCACAAGCACACGTCGGAAATGAAACGCCCCTTACCATAAT